GTGGTGGATGGCTGGTGAGGGGAGGGTGATGCAAAAAGAAAGCAGAAGGACAACATAAAAATAACAAATTATTTTGCTTATTTGGATATTTACGGTTCGCATTCAAATTTTGTTTTATGGACATTCAATGCCCCAATATGACAAAAATAGTATAATGTTCCAGCTGCACACTTACACTTAAAAAAAAAAAGATTTGAGGCATAATATTATTCTTAAAAAAATTAAAGAGGTCTCCAAAATGATGATACAACCTTTTAAATTGTAAGAAAAACATACACAATATTATTCCGCCTTTTCAAAACCTCTTATAAACAGTTTTAAAAACCATAATAACTTATAAAGCACTCCAAATTATAATTAAGTTATTTTTTCCTTTTCTGAAAACCTATTTTTCCAGTGAAATATGTATGTGACGGAGCCATGACGATGGCCATTAAGAATGTTTGCCCCATTTATGATTCATGAATGCTCTTTGTTGCTGTCATCGGACGAACCAATGAACTGTCACCAAAATGGCTGGCGAAACTCGAGCATCAATTTGGACTTGTTGCCATCGATGATGATGTTTGGGCATTCGGTTGGCCAAGTTTGCTTGCCAATGCATCAAGTAAATGTATTTACTTTAACTTATCGATATATGTTATGATGAAGTAACTCAAGTAGGGCTGTATAATTGGGCCAAGACTTTTCTTGGGAAAGTATATACAGATGGGCTCGTGATTATTTTATAATTGATATAAACATTAATATATTTTATATATATAAATATATTTCAACAAAAGATTTAATTAAAAGCATGAAAATACATTTCTTGATTAGTTTAAGTTTATCGCAAAAATATCGATTATATTTCACAATTTCTTTCATCCTTTCTTCATTCTTTCTTTTCCTTATTTAGATAATAAATATTTAAGATAAACTCCTTTTAAATTTTAAAATCCTTTTTAGGACTTGATTTTTGGTTTAAGTTCAGCTATCGATGACTTATCGCTTATATTGGTTATCGCTCTTAGACCCCCTTAATGGCCCACACTTTTTCCTGACTACTTTCAAGGGGATCTGCAAAATCTTTGGACTCACCTGAAGCTACCTAGCACCTAGCTATCCTTTAGCTTGGTGGCCAGCGAAGCATCCAGCCAGTGGACTAGAGAGGCAGTCAGGCAGTTAGTCAGTCAGCCTGTCAGCGCACAAATGGCGCCAGAAATGTTTTGCCCTTTTTGCCCAATGGAAGGATACATTTGTAACTTCTATTGATTTTTAATGCACGCCAGCCAAGGCGTCGTCGTCGTCGTAGTCGTCGTCTCGGAACAAGCCACCAAGCCATGAACTTTACAAGGAAGCCACCTACGACTACTCAGCACCAGACTCCTTCCTTCCTTTCTTCGTCCTGCCAATCTTGCGAGCGGTGTGTATGTGTGTGTGCGTGCGAATTTTAATGCTTGTAGCGGGGGAAAACAAACAAACATGTCACAGTCGAGGGAGCTGGCCGCAAATCCGCCATCTTCGTTGGCGGCGATGCCATTGCCATCGCTCCACTTGATAACTTAATGCCCCACGCATGCTTCCACATGCACGCACACTCACACAGCCACTCTTTTGGCGGAGTCACACATACGCAATTACCCGTACAGACAGGTATCGACGAGCTCAGCGATGACATCCGCGGACGGAGCAACACACTAGTGGGCGGCGACTTCAACGCTTGGGCCCAGGATTGGGGGGCGCCCTCAACCAACGCCAGAGGCCGCATCATCCTGGAGGCCTTCGCCTCCCTGGATATTGCTCTGCTGAATGAGGGTACCCAGCATACCTTCAACAGAGCGGGAGCAGGGTCCGTTATAGACCTCACTTACGCTAGCAGTGCACTAGCCTGCCTAGCCAGGTGGAGGATCAGCGAGATCTATACAGCCAGCGATCATGAGGCCATCCTCGTCTCCCTCGGCGAGAACTCACCGAGCAGGACGATCCCGCCCAGCGCAAATAAGGCATATCGGCAAGACACGCTCAACGCCCAAGCGTTCTCGAGCGCCTTAGCGGGCCTAGCCACAGACGAAACGGACAGCGCTAACGATGCTGCGCTCAAACTGGCGGCCGCGGTCGAGCGTGCATGCAATGCAAGTATGCAGAAGCGGAAATCTTTCCGGAAGCATCACGCACCGGTGTACTGGTGGAGCGATGACATCGCAAACCTCCGCTCCTCTTGCCTCCGAGCCAGGAGGAAAGTCCAGAGAGCGCGCGGCTCTCCGAACTTACCAGCCCGCAGCGAGGCTTACAGGACCGCAAGGGCGGCCCTAAAGAAGGCGATAAAGTCCAGTAAGAGAGAGTGCTTCCTTAAGCTATGCGACGACGTCGAGAAGGACCCATGGGGCGGGGCCTACCAGAAAGTCGTAAAGCGAGTGAGCGCTGGCAGCAAGGCGCCAACGGACCCTGAGGCTCTCGAAGGCATAGTCCGGGTGCTATTTCCGACTGGGCAACCGCTCAACTTCCATGTGAGCAGGGAGCCCATGGAGATATGCCCGGTCTCGGAGCAGGAGATCTTAGTGTCAGCGAGGACGCTCAAAAACAAGAAGGCTCCAGGCCCTGATTCAATCCCTAACAGGGCGACCAAACTGCTGCTCACACTGCACGCCAAAGCGATCGCCGATTTGTTCAACAAGTGCCTGGCGGAAGGCTCGTTCCCAGTGAGATGGAAGCGCCAGAAGCTTCTTCTTCTCCCGAAACCGGGGAAGCCAGCGGGCGAGGCATCTTCGTACAGACCCATCTGTCTGCTGGATACGATTGGGAAGGTATTTGAGAAGATGATTGTTTTAAGGCTGGAGGCAGCGATAGAGCGCGCTGGTGGGCTCGCGCCAAACCAGTTCGGCTTCCGGAAGAGGAGATCGACCCTGGATGCCATTGAAACGGTCACAAACCTGGCCGCGAACGCTATCGCTGGCGCGAGATGGAAAAAAGGCGCCAAGGAATACTGCCTGGTTGTTACTCTTGACATCCGGAACGCATTCAACTCTGCGGACTGGAGGCGGACACTGGAGGCTCTGGAAGCCTTCAGCATCCCGGGCTACCTGCTGAGGATAGTCCGCAGCTACCTCAGCGAGAGGAGTCTCATCGTGGACACGTCCCAGGGTACCAGAACGCACGAGGTCTCAGCCGGAGTCCCGCAGGGCTCCGTTCTGGGACCGCTGCTCTGGAACACGATGTATAACGGGGTGCTAAACCTCCCGCTATCCTCGAACACCACTATCGTTGGCTTTGCCGACGACGTGGCGCTGGTGGTAGTGGCGAAGGAGCTGGCAGATGCGGAGATGGCGGCAAATAGCGCGATCCGTGCGGTCGAGTCCTGGCTTGCAGTCGCCGGCCTCGAACTGGCCTCGCACAAGACCGAGGCAGTCCTGATCTCCAGCAGGAAGCGAGTGGAAACGGCGGAGATCCGGGTAGGTGGACTTCCAATCACCTCCCAGCGCGCACTGAGGTACCTGGGCGTCATCCTGGACACACGCCTCTGCTACAGAGAACACCTAGAGTATGTTCATAAAAAGGCCAGCGAAACCGCAAGGTCCCTCTCCAGGATCCTGCTGAACACCAGGGGGCCCAAGCAGTGCAAGAGGAAGCTGCTCATGAGCGTCGTCACGTCGCAACTCCTCTATGCAGCCCCAGCCTGGGCGGAGGTTGTGAAAGTCAGGAGCTATGTGAGGGGTGTAGAAGGGGTGTACCGCCTATGCGCTCTAAGAGTAGCGTGCGCCTTCCGGACTGTCTCCGACGACGCGGCCCTAGTCATAGCGGGGCAGGTGCCGATATGTGAGCTGGTTCGAGAAGCCCAGGAAGCCCGCCTCTCACGCGAGCCGGGAAACTCTTCGGCGAGGCGTGAGGCCAGGAGCAGCGCCAGAAGCAGTAGTATCGCCCGGTGGCAGTCCCGGTGGGACAGTTCCACAAAGGGCCGTTGGACTCACCGCTTGATCCCTGATATCCAAAGCTGGATCACCCGAAAGCACGGCGAGGTAGACTTCTACCTGACACAGGCGCTCAGTGGGCACGGTTGTTTTCGGAGCTACCTAAAACGTTTCGGCCACGACCCAGAGGACCACTGCCCGGAATGCGGGACCGGAGTCGAAGAGAACGCGCACCACGTTCTTTTCGAATGCCATCGTTTTCACCACGAGCGGCTGGCACTGGAGGAAGTTGTGGGCGCTGCCATCGGAGCTGACAATCTGGTCCCCACTATGCTTGGCAGCCAGAAGGCCTGGGACGCGACTGCCACTTTTGTGGCAAGCGTCATGAAAACGCTGAGAACTCTGGAGACGGAGAGAAGGATGCGTGCAGAGTAGGTGGCCCGTACCTCGCGCGAAGCAATGCCTAGCGGCGGTACCGCGCGACCAAGGCCCTCTACACCGTAAATCAAAGCAGCCTTCAATCAAACAATTTGCAGTCTTCGTTCTTTTCTGTTTGTTGTTATTTGTATATTACTAAGGATTTAATGTTGTTAATAAATGGAATATAAAAAAAAAAAAAACCCGTACAGACAGACATTGACACGGGCTTGGGTACGGGAACAGACACTCACTCACTCACTGAGACGGGCGGACGGACGGACAGCTTTATAAACAAGCTGGCAAACAAGCGGCTCAACTTGCCCGGAATGCTGCCTATGCATTTGCGTATCGGAGATGACCGCGTGGTCGATAGCGATTGTAGCGATATATCGAGATTTTATCGATCGTGCTAAGTATATAATTGATATTTGCGGAATTTTTTATTTAATTGAATGAATGTAAAGGCATAAATTAATTAATAAAAAACAGCCTAGCTTTTTTACATACATGTTCCCATGAAAGTCTAAGATTTATGGTACTTTGTAGTGCCGATAACTGTCGATATCAACTTTAATTGCAGATACAGTTAGAAAATGTTATATATTATGAACTTCTTTTGAACGAAATACCTCAGTTATTAATATTTTAAGATTTTTGGTTTAAAGAATAGTAATTATTAAAGTTTGTACTCACGGTTGGAAAAGGCGCTCAATGGACGCGTGAGGAGCGTGGCCAGGAACAGGAGCAGCATCACTGGCAACACTGCCGGCGAACGTCCTTGGAGCACTTGTTTTTGTTTCGGCCGCTGCTCCTGATGGCGACGATGATGATAAGCCTGTTGTTGCTCCTGCTCCTGCTCCTCCTGCTGCTGTGGTTTCTGGCCAAGTCCCAGGGAGCGATGGAGCCCGTCATCTTGACTGCTCAACTGCAGTGGCATTTTCAGCATTTTTAAGCAGTCTTGCTCTGGATTCCTGATCGGTTATCGGTGTTTCTGCTTCTCCCCTTTTTTTTTTTGGTTGGTTGGTTATCGCTTATCGTCAATCGCTAATCGCTTTGAATACACTTGGCCAGTCGTTGTTGTTGCTGTGTGCAAAATCAGTGATAGGAAAAACCAATTTATTTTGAAATCAAATCGCTGATGTGTTTGTTCGTTCACAAATACACACATATAAAAAAGAGACACTTCAAGAGAAATTCTTAATAAAAAAAATAATAATAAAGTGTCCTGCTGAATTTCCTTTTTGTTTAAAAAACATTTTTCATATAATGTAGACTCAGCCGTCTTTTTTTATAAGAATTTAGACTAACTAAAATTTCTATTTTAAAAAATGTGAATTATTTAATTGAATTTTAAAACTCCTTTCAATAATATATTCTTTATAAAAATTCCTTAAAAACTAACCCTAGTTTAATATATAAAACCCTTTATCCCTATATAAATTCCCTATAATTTCACAAGTAAAATTTAAAGTCTTAAAATCCTAATTTTGACTTTCTTGAACATACACCCACGCGCTGGTTGTAATAAAACAAATCCGTGTACAATTTAAATCAGACAATTGACAGATTTGAGCATTGACAACAAGAACAACAACCAGCAGAGAAATGTAAGCACATAATAAATGTTTACACGTTCATTGTATTGTATTTACATGACAAATTTATCCGCCGCCGGTGGAGTGAGGTGGGTTCAACCATCATGATGGATAAATTTGGGTGTGTATTGGGTGGTTTTTTGGCGGTTTCTCTGGTGTCTTATTTTTGGGAGGCTTTCTTTCGATGGCCGTGAGGCAAATTTCATGGAACCGCCTGCATTAACAATTCCATGGTGGCATTTTACGACTACGCCACGGCGGCGTACATCCTTCAACTTATTACCAAAAAAAAATAAAAAAAATCAAATAAAATAAAATGAGGAAGGAAAGTTTACAACGTGCCACCAGCATCAACGTGTAACTCCCACCACCCCCAGCACGTTTTTGGCCTTGCCAAGTGCGGTGTATAATGGGAGATTTGTCGCGGCATAAATGGCATTAATCAGTTTGCGGTTTACTTTTACCAAGTCATCGCAACTTCTACTTGCTGAAGAAATAAAAGTAAAAGTATCAAGTTGCAACTTTTGCCACCGAAATCTACGGGGATTCCCGCAGAAAAAACTAGTAACTAAAGTCTAAAGTCCTTTCGAAAAAGAAAGCAGGTTCATAAAAATTTTTTGCTTTGTAAAAGAATTTATGCAGAATAACATTTACTGAATATAAAATATCTCTATCTCTTACACAAGAATTCATACGAATTTATATAAATTTTCTCCCTGCACGTGGCAGTAAGAGGATTTTGGGAATTAGAATCCTTTGACACAGTGTACGGGTGTGCATATACATACAATATATATTATAGGTTCCGGTCAAACGATGTTGGGTTTATCGTTTCTGATTGCTTTGACACTGCGACAAGCGAAAATATTAATTACAAATTTCAAAATGAAATACATATTTGATGCCTGTATTTATTACTACATGCACTAATTAAAGTTTAGCTCTTGGCCATGAATAATGTAAGTTTGAAGCCAAATATTAAGTTATGGAGGGGATACCATATAATATTATTAATTATTAATTAGTGCCAGGTGTTGGTGATTGTGAATCCGCCAATTAAGCTCCTGTGAATGAACTTTTTGGGCCAATAAATATCCAAGGAGCCGCCAAGGCGAAACCCGAAACCCAAACCCAACAAATCCAAGCAGACAAACCGCCGGAGCAAGGAGCCGGGGCCGTGCCGTGCCAAGTTTAATCGCGTTGCGGGGGATCTGCGTATTTGCTGTCAACTCGGGCATGAGTTAAGCAATCCTCGAGGCATTAAGTCTGGCCCTGTGGTTGGTTAGACCAAATTGAAAACGAATTAAAATGAAATTTCAAACGCTTTGTGCCAAAAGTTTCATTCAGCGCAGCCACACTCCGAAATACTTTGGCAAAGTACTTAAATTCCCTTTTCTTTTTTTCTCTCTCTTTTTTTAAGCGAACTTGCAAAGTTCTGTTTAAGTATATATATTTTTTTTTAACAACTGTGGAATAGAGACTGCAATTTCAATTTTGATTAGTTCATTTCTAGCGCCTCCAAGCAAACTTTCAATTTTTAAAACCACCAAGAACAGTTAAACATATAGTATAATAACAAAATTAGCTATAGCTTTTATCGGGGGCCATCAAATATTTTAAAGAAATGCCTTTCGGACGTGCTTTTAATTTTTCCATCTTATTTTCTTATGGCTCTGGAGTTTCCACGACGACGTTTTACGAGCTTCTCCACTTTGCATTTGTTAAGTGCAGGAGGAGTGTCAAATTGACAGCAGAAAGTGCTAAAAACATAAATGTTTAACGCAGGTGCCGCGACCCCTCTTACCAGCCCCCCTCCCATTATGTACTTTTGGAAATATGCTTGTATAATAAAAAAAAGAAGATAATGTTGAATTTTATATTGATATCACGAACTGCACTAAATCATCAATTAAATGATTTTATGATGCCCATTTTGGGTATCGACTGTGGGTTCTGCTCTATGTCCCCTAGCCCCCTTCCTACCATAGAGCTAGGATCTGTTTTCTGTTTGAGGTACAGTTTAAATTCCTTAAAAGGAACTACAAAAGAAAATATATTTTTAGCAGCTTTATGTATACCTTAAATAAAAATATTTTTGAATTGTTAAGTGTTATAATTGAAGAGCTCAGATCTTTTAAATTTAATTTGCCCATTTTCCTTGCTAAATTCGTAAATATATTAAAATATTTTTTTTCTGGATATATTACAAATTTCAAATTTTTTAAGTGAAAAAAAATATGAGACTGAAACTTTTAAATTTGGATTTTTAATTGTTGCAAAAATATTGTTAATAAGTTTCCAAAATTTGAAATTGTATAAATGACACTTTTATAGATCATTTTCTAAAGAGGTGTATATTTTCTTTAATCTTTTACTCTTTTTATTTAAATTATTTTATATTTTTTGTGATTGCATTTTCTTTAAAATCAACGTATTTTCTTATTAAATGAATTTCCATTTAGCCAAGTTAAACTGTTCCTTTTTTTATAAAGAGATATCGAGGGGGGAGAGAGCTGTCAGCAACACCTGCGGCCATTTCGTTGTGGCCCCAAGAAGATGGTGACGGTAATGGAGATACTGAAGCTACAGCACAACGACAACAACAACAACAACAGCACCACCACTAGAAGCGACGGGAAATGCAACACTTTTCCTTTTACGCTTCCGTTTCGCTAATTCCCGTTTGTTTTACTAGCTTTTGTTCCTGTTATTTCTTGGCCACTGTTTGAACAACGACAAAAACAACACAGAAAAAAAAAACAACAAAGACAATAACCCAGAAATGTGGAGCACGGGTAAAAAAAAAAAAAAAATTAGAAGGGAAACACAAGAGTTACCAACATCAACACAAACAAAGCGCCCGCCGGATTTATAATGGCAAAGTAAACAAGCTTACGAGTCGCGCGCGACTTTTGTCCCGTAGGTTGGCTTTTTGTTTTTGCGCGCGCTTTTTGCCGGAGTCTGCGGAACCGGAAACGAGCCGAAGATTGGAGACCGTCTCCTCTGCCAGCCGAACGAGAAATGGCGGCCGCTGCCAGCAGCGCCTTTTATACACTCCGCCAGCCGAGGGCTCGGCGGCCCTCGGCTCCGGCTTCGGCAGCGGCTTCGGTTCACAGGGTGAGTGTGTGGGGTAGGGAGAGTTGGAAAGTCGGAGAGTGGGTGGTGTGGGTGAGTAGAGCGTGGGAGGGGGGAAGCGGCTTCGGCTCGTTTAGCATATGTCTGATGCCATCGACATGAGCATCACTAGCACACGTGTGCGTGTGTTTCGGCACAGTCATGTTTAAGATACTAGTTGCGAGCATTACATTTGAGCCAATTTAAAAATATATGTAAACTCAAATTATGTGTCCCTCTTAAGAATTATTAAAGAAGCTTAGTTTTTAGCTAAATACTATACTCATTTATCTACTCTCTTCTATACTCTTTTAGTTAAAGTGTGGAAGCGTACTTGACTTTGACTTTGTGAAGTGATCGTATGCACATGTTTGTGTATGTGTTATCTAAGGTAAGTTTACCCTCTCCATTCTCCCTCTCTATTCTTTAACTCTCCAAAAGCTTCAAGCTCTCCAAGAGAGACAGAGATTATCATCAAGAGAGATCAGTAAAGATGGCACCATTTTACTAGCTCCAATTTGAGTTGCTATATTAAAATTCCTCTACACATGTTTTAATAAAAGTTTTATCTTAGTAGTAGTACCACTTAATTTGCACTGCTATTTCTGTGACTCGCACTGCGACTGTGCGTGTGCCAGTGTTTGCATATTTGCTTTATGAATGTGTTTACCAGCAAACTTTGGCGCGAGACACACAGAATGAGTGAAAGAGAGACTGGGCCAGTGCGGGGGAAGAGAGTGAGAGGTTGGAAAGGCAGGGGCGAAAAAGGGCAAGTGGGAGCGAGAGGTGCGTGCGAAAGTGCCAACACTCGCATTAATGACGCCAACAACAAAGCCAACAATTTGAATTGTAAGCCAGCCAACAGCTCAATTAACTATCCGCTCGTCCGGCTGTCTGTCCGGGTTTTGCGACTGCCTTTGCCCCTTTCTTGTTTGACTTTCCCCCGTACGTACACTCGCGTACGCATAATTCCCATTATTTTGGCAATTACAAGGATGTGAGGATGTAATGGCAATTGCATATGCTTGATATTATTTAACCCGTAAGTATGCCGTGTTAACTCGTGCTGTCTCGCTTACTTGCGCGCAGGTAACTGTAAATATGAAAAATGCATCGGAACGCTTGCATTGTCAGGATCTCAATTATTCATACAGCAGGACATACGTACATATGTATACAAGTGAAATTCTTTAACTATAACTTTTCTTCGTTTAGTTTGCGCTATAAAGTAGGCAACGAAAATAGTTTTTTGAGAAATTTCCAAACGATTTCGAATCTTAATGGTAAATTTTGAGGCATAATAAATAATAATAATAAAAATTAAACAATTTTATTAAAAATAATAAAAAATATATGAAAAATAATAATTATTATTAATATTTAGGGATTAAAAATAATTTATATTTCTTTTATATGTTTGATACAATTTTTTATTTTATATTTTTATTATTTATTTATTACAAAAAATCAAGATAGGTAATCCCACCTGTACCATGGCTTTTTGGTGCATTCTGTGCATCTGTTTGTATGTACGCGATTTTCTCCATGCAACACAAAATGAGCAGCAAGTAATTTGCATGTAAACAGGTTAAGGGATAAAGTTCATCACATGTAAATGGATATTCCTGATTAATGGCAAATATGTATAAACGACACACGGATTCAGGGACATCTGTACTATTCGTGCCTTGAGTGCGAATTTGCTTTGTATTCGCCTTATTGGGTGCCTATTATTAAATTCGATAAATGCTAGAATCGTTTTTTAACGGGTTTTTCAGTCGATTTTATCGACATGAAATTAATTAAATAAGAATTTGTTGATTTATATTTTTCCATGTTAAATATTTGTTGTAGGAAAATAACGTTTTAAGCTGCAAAAGAAACAAAGTGTTTTCATATTTCTGACAATTAATATCAATGTTTTTTCATAATTAATATTTATCGATTGTAATAAGGGAATCTCTAGCTGAAGCAGAATGGAAGTTTTTATTTTAAGGGGATTTCATTATAAAATCAAAATTTAAATATAAATATTAATTTAAAAATGTAAATTAATTTACAATATTCTTATTATTTGTTATTTTTTTCTGTTTTTTTTTTTTTTTTTTTGTTTTATAGTTATTTAGTTAGTTAGCAATTACTCCCAGTTCTTAGCCAGGCCCAACCAACATCAGAGTTCCCGCCACAAGTGAACCACTCAAACTTGAACTTTGAGTCCCTGACTGATGCTGCTCCTGCAGTGGTATATGCCAAATTCGATGTCAAGTTCTCTCTCTCTCTCTCTCTCTCTCTGGCCAAGTTAGTTTCATAAGCGACCTCAAGCCGAGCAGCTCAAACTTGAACTGCTTCCCTTTGGCGAGGTAATTGAGATTGATCCCCGGGCCTGTTCGCATCGCATCCCGCGGCTTCACGCAACAAACACGAGCAGGCGGGGGACACCTGCTGCCACACTCGTCCGGATACGGAGCTGCATTCTGTCCGGAGAATGTTATGTCACCTGGTGGCGGAGATGGAGGAGGAGGCGCCAGAGCGGAGCCTGACATGACCCCGACATTCCTTCGATACCTCAAATTGGGGGGGGCTGTCGTTTCTCGTTGGCCCAGTGAGTGAGCACTGAAAGTAATAGTTTTCTAATATAATGTAATATATGAATATTATATTGACTTATAAAAGTAAAACCTCCTGATTCAACTAGTTACTAAACATAATAACCATAAAATCATTTATTTAAATTTAAATAAATAATCTATTAAATTATTATTTTTATTCCTCTTAAAAATACCAACAAGTTTTCCCCTTCATTTATGTGATTTTCATCTCTTAGTTTGCTCGAGTGTGCATAGCTCGTGCAGTTTGCGTATATTTTGCATAGCTGGGATAACTTTTGGGTTCATTGACAATGGCCACCTCGGAATACCCCACAGCCTCAAGGATTTTCGGGGAACATGTCTCGCATTTCACTTTCACAACTTGCCAACTGGCAAAGCAAGCAAGATGGAGATAAAGAATTCATGAATACATCCTGGGAAGAGAGGGAGACGGCGAACAATTTGTATTCAAACGATTTGAGAGCTCTCCTGAAAGTAACATCATTAAAAAATTCTCCATCGCCTTGACTAGCTAGCTAAGGTCTCCGTTCTCCCGAATCTTTTCTCTTTCTCTTATTTTATTTTTTTTTTTTACCAACCTGGAAAATAGCACCCCAGAGGCCTTCGGTCTCAGTCGCAGTCCCTGTTACTGTCCCAATCCCGCGGGAGCCATGGGAACTTCATTCAAATGCAATATTTTGCCGTTGAATATATATGGGAGCTAGGCTGGGCTATGTGCTAAGTGACATTCCCTAGCAAATACCACGTTTATGCCATATAAAATTCATGATTATTTCTCAGCTATTTTAATATTTTTTAATACCAGCCACATAAAAAAATGCCTAAGGTTTTGATGTCTTTTAATTTAAAAGTGATTTTAAAGGCAGGAGCAATAAACCAGTTCTAAGTTAAAGCTTAATTTTGAACTTAGAAAAAAAAACGTGTATTCTTCATTTGAAAAAAAACCTTAATTATACCAAATACATATATAGCCCAAAATATTGATATAGGTCTCAAATCCATCGATATCATTTCCAATCAAAATAGTATAGCATACATTTTTGGTCATTCCGGAAAAACTGAATTATTTTTAAGTTTTACTTTTCCCAAAAATTATCAAATAAAATTATGGATAAATATTTATATTTTACTACCCCTTTGAGGGTATAATTTCAGTCAAAAGCTAGAAACGCATTTTCGATTTATTTTCTTTCTCGTCAAGTTATTAAATGGAATAAATTGTATTTCAAAAGTTCCCGCATAAACGCTGAAGTTGATTCCGATTCCTATTCCGAAATAGAAACAGAAACCAATGCGCCGGGACCCCCGCAAGTCCAATCTAATCGAGGAGCAGTCGTTACCATTCCTCCGCTGCCGCTTCCGTTTCCGCTTCCAATCCGATTCCACGCTGCGGGCTGTCAATCGAAGTTTACACGGGATATCGATACCTGCTGCTGCTGCTTGCTGCTTCCCGGGAATCAATTGGTAACTAGTGAGGCGGGTTGGTGCTGCTGCGGGGTATGGGTACAGGTATGGGAAATCCAATAGAAAGTTTCGCTTGCACCGCAGCAGTAGCAGCAGCAGTAGTAACAGTAGCAACGGCAGCAGCCAAAGAAGCATTGACTGGCAGCTCGGTTAGGAGTTCGGTTCAGGGGTCAGGTCAGGAGGTAGTACATCCAGGGCTCAGGGGTTGGAGGCGGGTTCAGGTTGCATTGGCATTGCTGCCAGGCAAAATAGCTAAAACATTTTTGCCAGGTAACTTTTTAATTAAAGCTGGCAACGGACGAGGGGCGACGACGACGTGCCACGTGCACCGCCTTGTGCGGCAGCTGCTCCTTCTTCATCATCATCATCATCATCATTGTCGCCATTATAGTCGACATCAGCAACAGTTAACAACAGCTTCCCCGATGGCCACAATAAAATGCTTTTCCAGCAGCAACAACCGCAAAGCCCACCCCTTCCAAGCCATATCCTTGATCCTGCGGTTTTACCTCTCGATTATGACAGTAAATATTCTCTTGGGGCGATAGTGATCTACTTTAAGCTTAAATCTATATTAAAATAATAAATACTATAAACTTTGGGGAAAACCTATTTAAAAAAAATCGTAAGCAAACAAGCTTAGACACGCACATTCCAGTATATCCTGCAACTGTACTTCCGTTTTAAAAAGGCAAAAAATATCAAAGCATACAATTAGCATTTATGGTACTTTTACTGTTTTCAGATGTTTCTGTTTCCCTTTCACTCTCCTCCATTACTTGGCCTGCTCTCATCGTTATTGTTATTGC